ATAATTATAAATCATGTAAAATTATAAATAATTCTATACTCTCTTTGGGATAACATTATTTCTTTTCATCCTTCTTCTTTGCTCTCTGCTTTAGAACAAACTGCATCTCTACTCAAAACAGACAAATAATTACCACAAATTTACTAAAAGGTGAGAAAACAAAATAAAACAAAAAGAAGGGGGAAAGGAAGATCCCAGGGAAATGGTTAACAGTGATCCAAAAGGGATACGGATCTGAGTTAATTTCAATGATTGATTAGAGGACGGGGTTATAAAAGATGCTAATAGTAACTCCCAGGGAGATATTTCCAGAGTTCTGGCACTAAAACAGTAATGAATTTAATCACAATTTATACAGTCAGCTACTATTAGTGACTTTATTAGCATTTGGAGGCAGGAGACGGCTACATTTCTGATGTATTGGTTACACTGTGATACAATCTAAAGGTGTCAGCTACTTGTTTGCCCAGCCTAATGGGGAAAAACTGTTGCTGAAAAGATTAAGTTTCGAGAGCTTCTTAATTTATGTCTTTGCAGACATGTCTGTGCATCAAATGAAATAATGCATCACCCAGCCCTAAAGCCTGGCTCACCACTGTCTTGCACCCTGTGTATTTATTCACAATCACTTTCCAAGGGTGTAAATTACTACACAAGGTGCAAGGCAGAAGAGACTCAGGCCCCCAGTTAATAGTCTACCTGAAGTAGCTTGTGGCTCCAAACAAGGTGGCTGTATTAAGCAGTTACGCTGCTACCAAAGGCAAACAACGAGCCTGATGCTACACTGCTTGAGCCAGACCCTAGCTCTGAGGCTGTTTTGCACCTGTCCACTGGCACAAAACTGGCTTAGCCAGCTACCTGAGGATCTCCCTGGTACAAAGGTAGCCCCATGTGGCATGGGGCTAGAATATGTGGCTCTATGCTACTCCATCCAGTTTCTCTTAGGATAGAGGATGTGGCCAAGGAAGAGGGGCATGTAGAACACCCTTGTTCTCCAGAGATCGTCATCGGTCACAACAGGTACTTGATGGCCTTTACAGATGGGCACAAGCTAGAGCACCCTTGAAGCTGCTCTAATGTATACTGGGGCCTGCCTCAGGACAGGGGGGCATAAAGGTAGCACACAGCCTCCTTCCAGCTCCCTACCTACAGGACTCCATTGAAGTCATGCTGCCTGAGCTTTCCCAATCCCAACCCACCACTAGCCCTGAAACTCCTCTAACTTTGAGGGAGGTGTGACAGGGAGCTTGTCCTGGGATGCATGTGCCTGACCCAGCAGCCTGTTTCAAGGGGGTTCCAAGGCAAGGAAAGGGCTCCAAAGAATATGTAATCTAGCCTCAGGCTGCATTAACTTTTCTGAAGACTCCTGGTGAGGTTGGTGGAACAACAATGCACGTCCATTCCTCCAGCCTGGCTTACCTCCTTCCTCTACACCAGGGGTCGGCAACGTTTGGCACGCGGCTCGCCAGGGTAAGCACCCTGGCGGGCCGGGCCAGTTTATTTACCTGCTGACGCGGCAGGTTCGGCCGATCGCGGCCCCCACTCGCTGCGGTTCGCTGTCCCAGGCCAATGGGGGTGGCGAGAAGTGGCGCGGGCGAGCGATGTGCTGGCCGCGGCTTCCCGCCGCCCCCATTGGCCCGGGACGGCGAACCGCGGTCAGTGGGGGCCATGATCGGCCGAACCTGCCGTGTCAGCAAGTAAATAAACTGGCCCGGCCCGCTAGGGTGCTTACCCTGGCGAGCCGCATGCCGAACGTTGCCGACCCCAGCTCTACACTGAACCTGTGGAAAGCTGTTCAGAGATCTGGGAAGAAGTGGTGGGGTGGGACCATGTGACTGATATAACCAATGTCCCCCTTTGGAGCAGAAAGCATAAGATCTGCACACTGATCTCCGGGAGGTTGAGCTGGCTCTCCTACAGCAATTAATTACACTCCCTGAATTGTACATCTTTGTGTTTTCATCAGAATTGAAGAAGAATTTGAATTGGAGTTGTTTAGGTTGCCTCATATTCTCCTCTCCGGTGTTTTCCTAAGACTAGGATTTGAAAAGCCAATCAGCAGAAGGGACCATCCCCCATCGGGAGGAGGAGGGGGTGGGAGAAGGTATCAAAGAACTGCCATCTGTCCAGTCACATGTTTATTAATTAAGTTATAGTTCTCAGGATGTTCCAAGAATAAACCTAGAGTGTATTTTTGATCTTACCTAAAATCATATTTTTTTAAGCGCCTACCTACTCTTCTGTACCATTGTGCAGATTACCATTGTGGCAGATTACTAAATATTACATTGCACTGTAAAAGTGAACCCTGGTTTGTCATAGAGCTCAGTCTTAATTCTGTTTGTCTGATAAATCATTGTAAAGTTATATGTTAAGGCAGCTAAGTAAGTCTGGTAACAGTTTTATCCCTTACTATCTCAGATCAGTAGACACAATACATTGCCTTGTGGCAGTTTTGGGAGTGCTACTTCAATTACACTCAGTACTGCAAAGGAATCCTATAGTCATTGTAGTAAAACGATGGTAACTATACACCCGTATAGCTCAAACTTGTAAGTCAACATGGTGAACATTAGTAAGACTGTTGTGCTTTCAGTGAGACAGCACTATGGTTAGGACATACTGTGGACCCAATCCTGAAATCCTTACTGACTTCAGTGGGAGTCTGGCCTATGAAGAGACTTCAGGAATGGTCCCAAGATTAATGTAATTAATTTAGCAGTTTCTTGTAATATTACTACAATAGCTATAGTTCTGCCTTAACCTTCGCCTTACTGTAAAACCTGTGGGTTTGATTCAGTTCTGCTGCTAGGGGTGCCTGGAGTTAGCTGTGCTCTAGAAGTGTTTGCACTGCTACCCACCATCAGTGATCTGCCAAGTGAGGGCAACTTTTAAATGTAGCTGAGACTTCATAGGAGTCCTCTGCCAATAGCTTCTGACTCTGGCTGCCCTGGCCAGCACTGCACACTTTGGGTCACATTCATCCCTGTTCAGAAAGCCTGCTTAATACATATCAACCGCTTAAATCCCAATTAAGTCCCATTTTGAACACCATGTGCTGTACAAGTCTGCTGTGGGCTTTCCACACAGATGTGAACGTCTCCTTGGAAGCTGCATTGGGTGATTGTGGACATCCTAGCAAAGTGGGGAATCACAGGAGCTTTGTGCCTCTACAATCCCACCCCAACAGACTTTGCAGGAGGCATAAGGAATGGCGAAGAAGGCTCCTTTCACTCTCCACACCTCAGTGCACTCATGCAACGGCCAGGCGCTACCTTGTGACCCTAAATGTGGATATACTGGGCCAGATCCTCCGCTGCTGTAAATTGGCACAGCTCCATTGAACTCAGTGGGTGAAATCCTCAGAGGGTGTACATCATCCTAAAACCACTGAAGGCAATGGAGCAATATATCACCACCACCAGAGGATCTAGCCCATAGAATTTTTGGACTACAGACTACTGCATTGTGGAAAAGAATGGCTCCTTCTGAGCCATTTCAATCTAAAGGGTGCAAAGCAGCTGCAGGAAATCTCACATTAAAAATTATTTTGAAGGCTTTGGTGTTAAAATGGCTGTGCAGATGCAATCCTTCCCTTGTTTGAAATGAAATACAATGGACCCTACTGATAGTTTGGGAGAGAGTGAAACTCCATTGAACAGTGAAGTGGAATGAAAGCCCTGAACTGTGTCAGTGCAATGCAATGTGCAGATTGCAATTCCAGTGACAGGGAATTGTTTGGTGATAAGAATGTACCAGTTAAAAAGCTCAAAAGGGGATTGTTTCTTTTTCTCTTTTTTGAAAGCTTCAAGTGACTAGTCCATACTATGGATGCCATACATATGATGTTACATTAATTTTTGAGCTTGAAAAGTGGAAGATATTTGAAAAATTTGTTTTCATTCTCAATGTATAAATCAAAAAGATTCCAGTTGTTTTGAAAATTGACCACTAAAAAAACCAACCCCCTCCCAAACTGCAAAGTCTCCAAGGTTTCAGTCTGCTAGAAAGGTTATAAAGCAAGCATGACAGTAGGAATCTGGATAAGCCACTTAGCCATCCTAGAGCAGTGGCTCTTAACCTTTCCAGACTACTGTACCCTTTTCAAGAGTCTGATTTGTCTTGCGTAACCCCAAGTTACACCTCACTTAAAAACTACTTGCTTACAAAATCAGACAATAAAAATACAAAAGTATCACAGCACACTGTTACTGAAAAATTGCTTACTTTCTCATTTTTACCATTATTTTATTTATTTATTATTTTAATTATAAAAGAAATCAATTTGAATATAAATATTGTACTTACATTTCAGTGTATAAGTATATAGAGCAGTATAAACAAGTCATTGTCTGTATGAAATTTTAGTTTGTAGTGACTTCGCTAGTGCTTATGATGTAGCCTGTTGTAAAACTCGGCAAATATCTAGATGAGTTGATGTACCCCCTGGAAGACCTCTGCATACCCCCAGGAGTACACGTACCCCTGGTTGAGAACTACTGTCCTAGAGCCCTCACTCAGGCTCTGTCCTGCAATCAGATCCATAAAGGCGAAAGCTTGTACCTATGTGGGAGCTCCTGGACCTCAGTGGTCCTCTCTGTGGGTGTAAGGGTCTGCCCAGGCAGATCTGCTTGCTGGATTGGGTCCTTGGTTCTGACTAGGCAACACTACCCCTGATTTCTTAGTCTTAGGTTTTGGGGACTGATCTTGCTTCTGTGAAAGTCAAAAGCAGAATTCCCACTGGCTTTAATGGAAACAGAATTAGGCCCAAGACCTGCTCTCATAGGTGTATGAAAAGAAAGGGTTACAGACTGGTAACAGCCTTATTAACATCAATGCTGATATTCAAATCCTATAGGAATAATGTATATTTATAAATGCTACAGTGACAGATTCTATAGGAGCCTTTGAAATTCCAAGTGCATGTTTTTGTAAGGGCTCAAAGAATGGTTGTTTGCTTGATTTTTGTTTAATCTTTTGATTGCATATTAACTTTCTAGAGAGGGTCGTCTCCAGTAGACCTCAGAGGCTCCAAATGATCTGTGCCAGGTAAGCTACCTATGACAGCAACGTCAAAGCGGCCTCTGGGTTTGTTTGTTTTTATATGCAACCATTTAACTTTAAATGAGCTCCCTTCAGTGAGTTCAGGATGAGTACGTCAGTTCTTAGTAATAATCAGACCTGCCATAAGGTAAGCATCAGATTCTGAGAAACTGCAGTAGGGATAGGCACGTAGTGGCTTTATTATTCTCAGACAAGCAGCAGTTCAACAGCATTATGTGTGACTATTTGAGGGGCACAATTTGATTCAGGAAGGTCATGCTTTCCCAGGCCCTCTGGAGCAGACTTGATGACCAATTTCTCTTGCATAGAAATAGTTGATAGGAATATTGCCAGAAAGAGTTAGCTAAGGCATACAGGGGTCTTGTCTACACAACATCAGAAAATGATCTTGGGGTTAGTTAAGGCAGGAGAACTCACATTCTTCAGTGACCAAATGCTACTAGAGATGGCCTGGGCCTTGATTTAGCAGCTCATCCTAAAGACAGCACTTCAAACAGGGCAGTAGAGCACCTTTCTCACTCACTCTCTCCTCTGCTAGAGTGTCAGCATTAAAATAGCTCCCCCTCCTCCTTCCCTCCACTGCCAAGGAAAGGTATTTATAATCTGGGAAATTGCTTTTCACTCATCACAGTACCCAAATCTATTTCAGAGGGCCTGGTCACTAGTGTCTGATTTGATTTGATCAATAATAGGGAAGTATTATTGTGAAGTGGCCCCGAGAGGGTTGAAGTCATCCCTGGTCACTGCTAGCTGGCACTTTTTAGTCATATAGGTCACCTCAGAGATAACATCCCTGCACCTTAATCCCTGAAGATCGGATTTGAGGTCAGGAGGGGAACATTGCCTGATCATGGACTGGCAGCAGCCATGCGGTCATCCGTGATGAACCTGGCTGCACCAGATTAGTAATAACTCTGTGGAGGTTTTCGCTGCCTGGAATAAAGCTGCACAACGTGGCCATGGACATTCAGCACTACAGACCTTCCCTGTCTAAGCCTCCCATTGTGCTAGGTGCTTTGCACACATAGGCTAGCCAAAAAGACTATTCCCACTTATAGCAGAGAGCAGCTAGCCCACCTGGCTCCTGCCTCTGCTACGCTCAGATAAAGTCACTCAGACACCCTCGGGTTCTGAAACCACTAGTGCTTTTATTTACAAGTTTGTGCTCCCACCACCTTCTCACCATACAACTTGTACAGCTCCGGGTTCCTTGGGTCTGAACCCAGGCAGGAAGGGCTTGTCTCCTTGGGTGCACTCCCTCACTCTCCTCCATCCCACCACCCCATTGCCTTCTTCCCAGCGTCTTATATAGCCCTGGCCTGGCAGCTGGCTCTCATTCCCCAATTAGGGCAGGTTCTTTCCAGCCAGCTCCACTTTATTCACCTAAATGGGGCTGGAATGGCAGGGGGCTGATTCTGCAGTGTTTCTGCTCAGTGCCCTGTCACACTGCTCCAAAAAGCTCACACACCTGTAGGTCCAGGGTGGAATATGGCTTTTACACAGTAACTACCCTTTTAATCATCATTGTTCAGTACCTCACTGCTTTGTCCAGTACCACTCCAGGGGACAATATGCTCTGCTGTAGAGCTGGCATCCTTAGCCTCTGTTCTGAATTTCTGAAAGGAGACGCTGCTGAAGTCTTCAGAAAAGTACTGTTCTTAGATGCACGTGCAATTTTAATCAGTGTCTTCAGAAACTTTCAGGAATACACAAACTATCATTTCTCTAACTTGGATACCAGACTCCCTTCTTGCTACCATTACAAACAGGGAAATGGATGTATTCCCTGAAACCATGCTGGGTGGCACAGCTTCCTTCTCACTCGCCACAGTCCCTTGGTAATAGGACCCAGTCGCTAAAACTTGAAAGGGTCCATTAAAGCTAACCCCAACGAGCTGGCCAGCGCCTTAGTGGCAGAGTTCTGCACTGAATGCTAAGCCAGCTCTGATTCTTCGTTTCTGACTCTCTAAGTCAGCAAGCTCTAAACACTACAGAGGCAGCACAGTCAGCCCTTGAGAAGGGAAGAGAACTTCATAGTGTTAAACCCTCCATGGCCAGTTAAGGAGTTCTACTCAGTGCTTGGAAGCTGTGTGGAGTCTGAAAGAGGGGTACTGGAAAGCTTGGTAGCATAGCATGCAGCCTTGAGGATGGGGTTACCAAGCAGGGCAAAGGGGATCACAAGGAGAGGAGAAGAAGAGCCTTGCAGCCTTTTTCTAATGGTCGGCCTTACCACAGGCTAACACCTAGAATTTGAGTCCCAGTATCTTGCTCCCCTAACCAGCAGGGGCTGGTATGGTTTTGCCTGAGGTGAGAATTGAGCAATCATCCATCACAGCCTAGAGTAGCTAAGACCTGACTTTTTCCAAAGCTGTGTGCTCTAGTGTCTCATTTTTTTTAACATCCTCTCTCCTCACCCAAAGCATGAGGCACTCTGTGCAGCATAAGCATTAGAGGAATGAAACAGTAGGACACATGGGTGATACCAGTCCTGTGATGTCATTTAGAGGGGAAGCACCAGCTGGGGTAGTCAGTAGAAACACAACAGGCCAGGCTCTGATGTGCCACCTGATGCTGAAACACCAGGAGCAGAGCAAACAAAGTAAAAGCTGTAAAACCAAAAGCACTGTTTTTATTTGTTTGCTTGTTTGTTTGTTTTCTCTCTTTCACTTCCTAGTCTCCCAGCTGCAGTTGTCTCTGGGAGTCAGCCACTTGCCATTGACATTTGCTGGGCATATTTTCTTGTTTAAAACATTCATCCTGAGCAAGTGATTCACATCGGCACACCTCCAACCCATTTACAGCCTAATTGCACAGCCAAACTGGAGGGTAGTAGATGGGGAAAGGATATTTTATTTGGCTTCTTAATTCTGAACGCAAATCTGGAGGGCCACTGAAGGTATATCTCTTCACAACCAAGAAAAACCCATGGCTTGCCCATGCCAGCCTACTCGGGCTTGCAGCGCTCGGGATACGGGGTTGTTTCATTGCTGTGTAGACTTCCAAGCATGGGCTGGAACTCGAGCTCTGGGACCCTCCCACCCTGCAGGGTCCTAGAGCCTGGCTCCAGCCTGCGCCCGAAAATCTACACAGCAATGAAACAGCCACAGCATGAGCCCAACTTGCTGCATAGACATACCCTGACAGGTCTAGCAGAGTATTGGCAAGTTGACATTTGACATTTTCTCACTTATACATTTCTAAGAGTCTGACCATAACAGTAATTTGTGAGGTTCTAGTTATGACACATGTAATATACAGCCCTCAGTAATTGCTAGCGTCTTTTTTTATTCCAAGCCCTTTCTTTGCTAAGTAACAATTTATCTTCAAAAGGAAGAAGGGAGGATTCTAAACAGGTTTATTTGGAGATAGGATTGAACCAAATTCTTGGACATATGCACCCTCAAAATGTAGTAAGTTCCCATGAAGCTCCAAACTTCAGGACAGGCCCCTATCTCCATAACGGGCATACCCAAATTCCCCAGATTGTGCACCCCCCCCCCCCCCCCCCGCAAGCTTTAAGGAAGTTCAGATCCAGATCTGGTTCCAGATCTTAGCTATCTGACTTGGACCCATCTCTGGTGCAATTTATTTCTCTTGCTTTTCTAGGCTGGGCCAGGTGCCAGGAGCTGAAGACCTGGCATCGAAAATGTTAAAAGCCTTTCCTCGAGAGCGGGTCTCTGCACAGGATGCACTTGTTCATAACTTCTTCAGCGCTCTGCCGTCTCGGCTGTATCAGCTTTGTGATGGTACGTTATCTCCTGATCTCATCTCCGGAAGAAGGGAGCTCCTTCACATTTGATTTGTTAAGAGCATCCCTAGTAAATTCAAAGCCTGAGGGCTCCTGCTAGGCTCCCATAAGCTGCAAAGTTTTGGGGCTCTAAGCTGCAGTTTGAACAAGTGTTAGCTTTTTCCCCAACACATGAGAATATCTTCATATTAGTAAGGAACATGGAGGGGACCTTAATAATGGGGGTTCACTGAAAAAGGAATGGTGTGAATGCCTTGATGTAGTGCCATCCTTCCCCAATTGTGTAACTACGTGTCCAAAGTTCTTTCCTAGAGCTGGGTGATGCTGTATTTTCAGAGGGAGTAGTTTCATTCAAATTGTGATTTGCTCATATCCTGAATTCCCAGCTGCTTGGCGCAATGTGTTAGCCCTTGTTCCCCGAAATAGACCTCCTGCTGCCTTTTGAAGTTTGAAGACACCAGCTGTCCCTTGCATCCTGTCATACCAGCTCTCCCTTGGAACTACCTGCATTTACTTCTCTCTCCCTCTGTAGCTCACTCATCACATACAAACAAAAACCACACATTCACATACTACCCCAGTACCTAAAGAGAATGGTGCCTGCCTAGCTACAGAGCTGGAAAATCTCTTCCTCACCCTGTATAATGTGCCCAGTGGTCCTGGCATTCTCCAAAGATTCCTGGGCACCAGCTCCTTTTCTAGATAAGGGTGATTAAGGAGGAACCTTCTTGGACCAAGCTGCAAAATTATTTGAAAACTTTCATTTTTGGATTTTCTGACATATCGCAAGCAAAGAGGCTTGCAGCTAGCATCTCTCCTGCACTGCCAACCTTCTGAAGGTGCTGTGTGTGTGAGAGTGAGTGAGAGAGACACATCTGTATTCCTTTTCTGTTCACCCAGTCACAGAGCACAAATCTACTTTGACACTTTCAGAAAAATGAAAAGATGGAATCTCGCAGGAGCCTGCCTGTGCCGGGGGGGAGGAGGGGAGCACTCACAGCAGGAGGGAAGTTGACTTTTCTTTATACATATACGGTTTTTTCCATGCAGAGTTTAAATTATGCCTGATAAAAGGAGTTTCGTGGCTGTTTCAGTTCTTTCAAACCCTCCTGGCTTCCTCCCAATTAAATGAGGTTTGTCAAAGCCACAGGGCTCTGCTGCTGCCGGAGAGGCGGACAAGCACTTCCTGCAGTGACATCTCAAATCCCCAAGGGAGGAGATGAAAGTGCCAGTGCCAAAAGACAGAGAAAGAGAGAGTGTGGAAAAAATAGGTACAGAGACAGACAGACAGTAAGACAGAAAGGGGGAGAGAGAGAGAAAGGAGAAATAGGAGAGGGAATGAGACAACAGATTGGCACAATGTGTCACTCTCCTGGACAAGATATAATATCCAAGGCATATTTCCATACAGGGGATGAATTCTTTTCACATGGGTCTATATACCATCTCGTGTTTATTGTCACTGGTATTGCACTGCATAGCAGTGAGAGGCACCTCAGTGGACAAGAAATTACATGTCGTTAGCATAGCAACGAATATGCTGGGAACAAAATTAAAGTCTATTGGATTGAAACAAGTACAGTATGATTGTACAAGATCATATTCATGAGCAACTCATTAGGACTGTACAAATTAGGCAAATTTGAATAATTCCCAACGCATCCATCTCCAGTGCTATGATCATGTAAGACATTTGTTCTCCTGTGTCATTTTGGTATCACATCATTTTGGAATTGAAATTTTGCATTCTGGTTGCTATGATAACAGCGCAGATTTTAAATATGTTCTGTTCCTACTCTGTTCGGAAGGATGCTGGGGGGTAGTTTCTGTCCTCAGAAGTTAAAAAGTTAAAGCAGGAGGGCAAAGAATGAGATGGTGATAAAGGTAAAAGTGGGGGTTAGACTTCAAGGGATGCAGGGAGGAACCAAAATAAGAGGGAGAGAAACCAACATAATCAACATAAAAAAATGCTCCCCCTGGAAATTCTTTTCTCTTTTTGTGAAATAATTGTAGCCTGAACTGTCCTTTACATAAGTTGCCCTGACAAGTTTGTAGCCAGAGGATATCTCCTAAAGGTTACTTCTGAGGGGAAATTGGGGAACCAATGATTCAAAGGCAAGAGCCCTCCTAAATAGCATCTTTGTGATTACTGAAATGAATGCTAATGGACAGACAGTGGCTGCTGGCCCGTGAGCCTGAGAGTTGGGTGACAGGAAGCAGGGAGCTCTTTCTTCCCGCTTGAGAACCTGAGTAGAGGGGGCTAGAATGCCGGTCTTTGTGCTCCATTGATACAAGATTGTGCACCAGATTGTGCACCTCCCCCCTCCCCTGCAAGCTTTAAGGAAGTTAAATAGGCAGCAGGTTTAAAACAAATAAAAGGAAGTTCTTCTTCACACAGCGCACAGTCAACTTGTGGAACTCCTTACCTGAGGAGGTTGTGAAGGCTAGGACTATAACAGCGTTTAAAAGAGAACTGGATAAATTCATGGAGGTTAAGTCCGTTAATGGCTATTAGCCAGGATGGGTAAGGAATGGTGTCCCTAGACTCTGTTTGTCAGAGGGTGGAGATGGATGGCAGGAGAGAGATCACTTGATCATTACCTGTTAGGTTCGCTCCCTCTGGGGCACCTGGCATTGGCCACTGTCGGTAGACAGGATACTGGGCTAGATGGACCTTCGGTCTGACCCAGTACGGCCGTTCTTCTGTTCTTAAGATACTGGGGAAGTGGTGTAACCCATGCTAAAAGAGTATGAGTCTTACTCTTCCCCCTACTGGTTGGTCCACATAAGAAGCTGCCAGCTAATGTACTCCACCTTTAGCGCCAATGACAGAGATTCAAGTTTTCAGCACGGTAGGTCCTAGGTTCAAACCCCACTCACAGTCCAGCTAGGCTCAAATACATCAGCACCCCAGTACTGCCGTATATTGAAGGGTCACGGTCCTACCTTTTTCAGGATGAACTGGTAGTCTGGAGCCAGCAATGCTGTCCCCTTTAAAAAGGTGTAGCAATTTTCACTCCTTCTCACCCTGAGCTACCCTATGACACAGCCCCCTGCCACAGCAATGCAGCTAAAGCCACAAGCTAGACCTGTGAATTGCATCCTGCTGCCTGGTACGGCTCAGTGTTTACTGCCTGAACACCAGCATGTCGGATGAACCATTTATGTGGAAAAACAGAGCTCCCTCTTCCTTTCATTCTAGTACCCCACTTCTAATGGCCTTACACCAAGGTAGCCCCCGAGGTTGTGTGCCACCAGAACTAAGGCAGAGTAATATTTGCCATAGCTGCAAATTTAGTTTATTTTTACATTTCGTTTGCCTTCAAAGGCTTTAGAGCTGTCCTTTGGGATGGGAAGGCAGCAAGCTGCGGCACTTTGTTGATGCAGGGCCAGCTCCAGGCACCAGCTCAGCAAGCAGGTGCTTGGGGCGGCCAAGGGGAAGGGGCGGCACGTCCGGCTCTTCGGCGGCGGGTCCCTCGATCCCTCTTGGAGGGAAGCACCTGTTGCCGAAGTGCCGCTGAAGAAGAAAGCAGTGCGGTGGAGCTGCCGCTGATCGCGTTCGCATTTTTGTTTTTGTTTTTTCCGCCGCTTGGGGCGGCAAAAACCCTGGAGTCGGTCCTGTGTGGATGGCACCAATATAGTCCTGTAGGAAGAACTTAACTAGAGAGCAGCTTCACCCAAGCACCCAAGACTGTGATGCTTGATTACCAGGGATAGAGGAAGCACAGAGGTCTGAACTTGATGTGCCTTTAAGTTCCCATTGGACTAAAGGCCCAGCTCAACAGAAGCTATAACAGCTATAACAAAGTGGGTGACATTCAGCCCTGTGCAGAGGATCAGCCCAAGGCCTATGGACCATTAAGGCTCACTCAACTCCTATTTTGAGGGGCTAAATAAGATTTAAGTGGTGCACGGGCCTGATGCTGGGCCTCTGCTAGGAGGGGAATTTCACCCTTTGTGAACTGGTGATGAGAGATTTCAAGACATGCAAGAGTGCTTCCCAGCCACCTTCAGGCACACACGGTGTGTCTGCTCTGCCTGGTTGGCCTAAAATTCCCCATTGTTGCTACCACCACTTCAGTTCCAGTGTGGGGGGGTGCTGGCGTCAACAGGGCACAGGCCTTTTAGCCGCTGTATCATGTAACTCTGCTCAGAGCAGGCCTGGACAACACAGTGGTTAAAACAGCACTACTCTAGTCAATGCCTATACTAGAGCTTCCACTGCTGCTACCACTGGCCCAGCTGCACCGGTGGGAAATTTCAGTGCAGCGTAGTGTAAAGTCAATAGGCAGCCTGCAGGAGGCTTCGGTCTGTGAAATAATCTCTTGACTGAGTCAGCTGCTTTGATTAGATTCTCAGTCACAGTTGAAAAGTTTATGTACTCGCATCAGTGTCCGACCACGTGCCTGATCCACCGCTGAGTTCTGCCGTTTGGATGGAGACATCCTCAGGACTCACTGATAGATACCTCATGTTGAAAGTCAATTTTAGATGCATTGGAAGTTTTAAGGCCATTTTAAATGTCTAAATCCAGTTTTAATATGTCTTATATGGGAGTGACTCAAAGTTCTGCCTTTGGTGTTAAACAACAAGCTCAATTCATGCTGGCCCATGAATCAAAGCAATCCTTTCTATAGGGCAGGGGTGGGCAAATTTTTTGGCCCGAGTGCCACATCAGGGAATAGAAATTGTATGCCAGGCCATGAATCCTCACAAAATTGGGTTTGGGGTGTGGGAGGGGGTGAGGGCTCTCGTTGGGGGTGCAGGCTCTGGGGTGAGGCTGGGAATGAGGAGTTTGGGGTGCAGGAGGGTGCTCCAGGCTGGGATCGAGGGATTCGGAGAGCAGGAGTGGGATTAGGGCTGGGGCAGAGGATTGGGGCGTGGGGAGAGGCTCAAGGGTGCAGGCTCTGGGCACCGCTTACCTCAAGCAGCTCCCAGAAACAGTGGTATGTCTCTTCTCCAGCTCCTACGTGGAGGCACGGCCAGGTGGCTCTGCACGCTGCCCCATCCACAGGCACCGCCCCTGCAGCTCCCGTTGGAGTGCCGGAGAGGGCCATTGGGGCACGTAGGAGCCGAAGTGGGGCCATGCCGCGGCTTCTGGGAGCCGCGTGGAGCGGCCCCTGACCCAGTGCCCTGACTGGAGCACCAGAGCGGAGCCGAGCCGCGTGGTGTGGCCCCCGACCCAACGCCCTGGCTGGAGTGGGGCTGAGCAGCGTGGTGCAGCCCCCGACCCAGCGCCCTGTCTGGAGTGAAGCCGAGCCGCGTAGTGCGGCCCCCGACCAAGCGCCCCGGCTGGAGCGCCGGAGCGGAGCAAACCCCAGACCCCGCTCCACAGTGGGAGCTCGCGGGCCGGCTTAAAACGGCTCACGAGCCGTATCCAGCCCGCAGGCTGTAGTTTGCCCACCCCTGCTATAGGGTTATTTCGGGACAATTTTCCAAATCTTTTCTCATTCCTTACTCAGGCAAAATTCCCATCAGCCTCAAGTGGCCTGATTTTCAGAGAGGCTGACTTGTATGGGAGTTCTGCCTGTGTAAAGACTGAGTGCCTTTATACCACAGCTGTTGGTAGCAGGCAATGCAAAGGTGCATCACCCTGGAGCAGGCGCTCCTGGAGGCCGAGTACCTGAGGCACAGGCCTCTGGAAATGTAGCCTCTGCTAAACCCTTTGAAGTGCCTGCAGCTGATCTCGTGCTGCCTAAGCGCAAGGAGTAGGACTGTGCCTGGCCCCTGTACGGGAGCACAGGGGAGTAGGGCTGGATGATGGGAAGGAAGGAAGGTTCCCTGTGCCTATTCCCCCATTCATGCTCCTGAAAAAGTACAACTAGCCTTGAGTATAAACTTCAAATTTTGGCCCATATGCGCTCTGGCAAACAAAGTGCAACAGACAATGCTGCTCTCAGTCACACTGGTGTAAATCCAAAGTAACTCTACAGTGGGCCTATGTTTAATAAGTAAATGTTCAGGCAGCAGAACATCCATGACTGATGAGTGCTGTTAATACCCTTGAATATTACAGACACCACACACTAAGAGGTTACTAGACAGTCTGTCTTATTTTGTCTAATTACAAAATTGTATTAGAGGTTTCTTTAAGTAGCACTTTTCCTTTAAGACGATTACAGGCAAATCTAAAAAGATTTAGTTGTCTTGTTTGCTGTGAAAGGTGCTGAGACCAGCAATACCATTTAGTCACTTTCCACTCTCGACTGCATTTCTGCCTTCATCAGGTTATCAGCAGAGAAGCGTAAATGGAGATGCAGTGATCAGATTTCTAAGGCACAAAAGTTAATGCTAAGTTTGAGACAGTGACAGCAAGCAGCCAGGAGCCTAGGAACTCAATTAGTCTGAAAGACAACTATCTCATTATCTTTCCCAAAATGATATAAATACATAGGAATATAAAAATTTAAAATAAACTCTCTCTATTGACTGTCTAGATGACTGAATTTCCCTTCTCAATTTCTTTAAACACCCACTTTAGTATTTATTTATTCTAAGCGCGAAGCAGCTGTGATAATTAGACTGTCAGATTCGGTAAGTTAATGAGGAGTCACTGGAGTGGAAGGTTTTGCATTTGTGAGATTGCTGAAGGAGAGAAGCTCTATGCCTTCGCTCTCTTTTCTTTTTCTTTCTTTTCTCCCTCCACTGGGTGGGAAGGAGAGAGCTTGGCAGTGCACAGATCGATCCGAATCCTTTTGATTAGCGGGTTGCATTCCCACCACTGTTCTGCCAAATAATGTTTTCCTATAGTTTGTTTGTTTTTAAAAAAGGAGCAAACAAACAAAAACATAGATGAGATTTTTAGGGGCAAGGGAGCCTGAGTTTAAGAAACACACCTGCATTCTCTCCTTCCCTCTCCAAAAATGCATAAGAAAGTGAGCTCTGAGAAAGAAGTTTCCAAACTAATTTATGTCGGGTGATATGAACTGCCAGTAGTAGCAAAGTAATAATGTAAGATTCCCCCTTCCTCACTCTTTACAAATGGAGGTAGTGTAAAGCAAGCAAAGTGATTACAGGTTTGCTTCAACTGAATCTTGAACAAAGGAATTTCAGCAGGTCTGCAGTTAAAAAGTTTCCCTCTTTCCACTGGCTAAACAAAGTTTCGGTGGATTTTAGTTAACTAAAGGGGGGCCTGATCCTGCAAAGCACACAATTAATTTTATTCATGTGATCAGTATTGAGATTGCTCATGCGCTGAAGTGTTTGCGGGATCAAGTCCACAGCTAATATGTTTTACAGCATCCTATATTTTGTTTTCTAAAGTGCCTACTCCTGAATTAAATGCCATATTTTTAACACCAGGAGTTGGGGACAACTGTGATTCAGATAAACAGTTTATCTGCACTAAGGGTACATCTATACTTACCTCCGGGTTCGGCGGTAAGCAATCGATCTTCTGGGATCGATTTATCGCGTCTTGTCTAGACGCGATAAATCGATCCCAGAAGTGCTCGCCGTCGACACCGGTACTCCTGCTCCGCGAGAGGAATACACGGAGTCGACGGGGGAGCCTGCCTGCCGCATGTGGACCCGCGGTAAGTACCTTGTAGTTCGAACTAAGATACTTCGACTTCAGCTACGTTATTCACGTAGCTGAAGTTGCGTATCTTAGTTCGAACTGGGGGGTTAGTGTGGACCAGCCCTAAGACTAATTCAAGTGGAAGGATTTGCCTGGGTGAACGTTCCACGTATACAAAACTATATTTCTCTGAACAGTGGCTTTGGGAAACATTAGGCAGATCAGAGTTTCTCTGGTGTGTCTGCGGCCATTGCTGCTCCCCCCCACAATTTTAGGTTAAGAAGCAGAGATATTTGCAGGTGGAGTGAGAGTGCAGATGATACAGAGCAGGTCTGTTGAGGAAAACATCCTTTTCAGTCTCTCTCCTCAAACTTGGTTTCTCCACAGCACAGTCACTGTTTACAGTTCCGGGAGTGAGGCTGCAGCCAGAAATCTGTGACCTATTTGCTCCTTACCAGAAGGGTCATCGCCAAGCCAGTTCAAGCAAGTTTTGGTGAAAAACAAGAATGTTCAACGGCCTTTTAGGTGAGGAACTAAAAGAACAGTGTTTGTTTTTCACTATAGAAGCTACTGCCAACATCCTCAACAAATGAGATCCCATAACGAGTCCCCATGTGGGCTGGTAAAGCCCTAAGGTGGGGAGAGCGGGACAGAAAAGGGTTACAGTCTCTTATCCCATGGCAAAACCCGTGGCTGAGGAAAGGTTAAGCAGGAAATTCTAAGAAGTTCTTATTCCTGAGCTTCCATCCAGGTGGAGGAAAGGGGGATTGCAGGCCTGGAGCCTCCAAACACAGCTGCACCAACATCCACAACAATATCCCACAGCTCTCAGAATAGCCAGACAGAGGGCAGACCCTTCTGCCACTAACCATGGGCCCTCTCCCCTACCCACCATCTGGAGGGTGTAGACAGGGGGAGGAGCAGACTCTGCAGGAGTGATAGCTCATAGGGTTAGCAGCATTAGCTCCCATGGTAACTTCCCCATCTCTGTTTTTAATAGCAACATGTTTGCCATATCAGCTCTCCTAACTCTCAGACCAGTGCCCTCCCTGTGAGGCCAGAACGCTTCCCCTTCCCCCGCACCTCAAATATTTTTGAATTTTATGTCATTCATAATTACGAGACCGCTTATCGTTTTTCTTTGCTTGGTCTGCATTTGCCAATGGTGAATTAATCAAGTTTTACAGTTAGCTTCTGAGCATGATCAGCAGTTGATTTTTTCAAACTTGCTTATTGATATTGGTTTCCCAAACATTTTTCAGTCATACAAAGAGATTACTGTTGAAGTAACTGGGGAAAGGTATAGGTGCTCTACTCATCTGAACAGGGTTAGTCATAACAAATGTTCCATGTCATGCTTAGATTTTGCACTATATTCAGGGGCGTCTATACCCTACATTAGATTATCTGAGCCTGGGAACCACTGAGGGATGGCTTCTCAGCTCCTGGGACTGCTCTTTGTCATATTAACCTAGTCTAGTTCTCCACAGATCTGGAGGCTGGAATTTATTGTGTAGGCCTTTTCCTTTTAGGGTTAAAAATGCCAAAAAGTGGGCATATTTCATACGCCCAGGTATACTCCCCACTACCACTCATATCTTCATTATCTAAGGCTATGTCTACACTTGCAGAGTTTTTGCACTCTTAGTTTCACCGGTGACAGGGAACCAGTAAAAGAAAAGCGCTGGTTTGTGTACTCACTGACTTCCACAGGTGTCAGATCCTGTTCACATTTGCAGCACTTCCATCCCCAATGAGAGCAGCGCACTGAGGGCAGCTATTCCACAGTGCAGCTCTCTCCATTTTGAGGATAGGTCTTGTGGGAAAGGAAGGGGGTGATCGTGAGGCATCCTGGGTCCCTGCTCAGCCTCCTCTCCCCAAACACTCATCAGCTCCAGTAGCTCAGCATTGCTCCAAGCAGGGGGTGGTTTGCTCCATGGAGCAGGCATTGTCACCTGGCCAGATGATAAGTGAGCGCTTGCCAAGAAAACGGGAAGGGGAGTTTCAAAGTTCCCGGGGCTTTACAGGGGGAGGGGTGGACGTCTGTTTACCTGGGGTCAAAGCAGCAGAGCTGCTGGCCAGAGTGGTCACCTAGGCACCGTGGGATATCCTCCGGAGGCTAAAAACTGTGTAAACAGGAAGAACGTGTCTTCACTTGCACATCACTGCAAAGTATCACCAGTAAGAACTATACACCTCTCGTGGAGGTGGTTTTCCGTTTGTGGTGAAACTTCTGAGTTTCACCGCAAAAAGTCATTGGCAAGTATAGATGCTCCCGCAGTTTTTGCGCAAAAAAGGGACTTTTTGCGCTTTAAATGACAAGTGTAGACATGCCCTGAGTAACTCAGCACACATGCCCTGGATCAGATTATGCTTTCAATTTCATCATTGTAAAACCAGGACCACTTCAGTAGATGGAATTACTTTGGGTTTAGATCAGCATAACAGTATTATCAGAATTTGGCCCTATGTGTGCTCTAATGTCTGAGAAGAGCTAGGTAAAGATGCTGAAATTGTCTTAAATCATAACAGCATTGATTTTACACGGTGCGTATTTCAGTTTTACTGGGAAATTGTTAACTTAAAAATCTCATTTCAGTCTGAATACCTTTTACCTACTATTGCAACAAATAACACCTCAGATCACTATTACTGAAAGAAAACACAGAAAAAAAGTTCAATTTTTTTCCAGTCTGTTTACTTTGTGCATTTGTCAGGAGATTTTATGCAGTCAGTTTTGCTGTTTTCTCTGTGCAGTCAGATATGTGTTCGCAGGATCAGGACCTGAGTAACTTTATTCTTGTCAGTAATTCCATCGAAGGCTCTAGACTACTCACTTGAGTAAAGTTATGCTCGTGCTTCAGTGTTTGCAGGATCAGAAACTTAATCAGTTTCCCCTGTTTTTTGAGTCTTTCACACACAAAATTTTTAAAATAGCACAATCACAAAAATAATTAATTTTTAAAATATTTACTAGATTTCACGTTGACACTGTTCCTTCTTATTTCCCCATCACACATACTCTCTCTCTCTTTCTCTGTCTCTCTCTCACACACACACACTTGCCTTACATACTAGACAAGTTAAATGTCAACTCAAGTTCTCTTCCAATGTTCAGTCACTGAGATGTAATCTAGTAGTGTACGAATTTAGATTTTTTTTATTTATATATTTTTTTTAAAAAGAGTGAGATGTTAAATGTAATAGAAATGTTTTTAGTATTTTAAAAGCTGCCAATCAAAAGCAATCAAAAATAATCTAAATAATGGTAACTTGGCATCTAAAGCACAACATTGTGCTCATGTATGAGAAAGTGAAACTGACTAGAAACAGTGAAACTGGCAGCCTGCTTTCACTACTCAACCTGAATGTGGTACATAAATAAAAACAAAGAACAGAACATAAAAGGTTCAGTGGTGGCTTTGCCAGGAACCCACAGTAAGGGGCACCACGTCATTGTCACAATCTCCTCCCTGTACTCCCAGTGCTCTGGGAGGAAATAAACTGTACCACGTCCAAATCCAGGATGTCATATGTTCCATGCCATAGCTCCATTCAGTCTCCACCCGGTTGTATCTCCGACCATCCATTGGACGGAGGGGGAATTTAGTGGCTCTGAGGAGCCTACTTCCCCTCTTACGCTGGTACCCTTAATGCAAATATCTAATGCAGGGGCCCCTTTATAGCTTTGTGCTACTGAACTAGCTGGGCCACAGGGGGTGTCCACGCAAAGCTTAGAGTTGTTTTAAATTTATCTTTAATAATAATCAAAGTCACTAAAGCAAATAAATCTGCAGAATATTTGGGATTATATATTTTTTCTTTCAATTTATAGATTTAGCCCATCAAGAACTTTCTAGGCACAAGATTTTTATCCTGATAGCATTCTTGGTTATAGGGGCAGATTCTGCTCTCTGTTACACATGTGGACATCGGGCATGACTCCTCGGAAATCAGCAGATTTACACTGATGTAACTGAGAAGACAGTCTGGTCTAGGGAGATTTCTTTATAAAAGTCACCTTTCAGTGGGAAAGAAGGAGACAGTGCAGATGCCCTGATGTGTCTTTTGTATTTTTTAGAAAGCAACGTCAGGAAGATTGACTTGGCAACCAAGAAGTAAAAGCACAGTGTAGAGTTTGGACCTTCCAAATAAACCCAGCCATTTGTCTCTTAATAGAGAGATCCCTGGACCAGAAGATTGATGAACAAACAGGACTGATGGGGGTTGACAATTGAAAGAAAGTAGGGACTGATCCAAGGCTTACAGAGACCTGTCAGGCCTGGGGCTTGCCTACAATCTCCTCCAACAAAAGAGCTCCTGAGGGAAGGAGGGGATTAGTCTAAAGTTGAGTGAAGTTTCCAGGGAAGATGGTTTCTTGGATAAAGTTACCAACAAAAGGAATTGTTTGAGACTATTTGTTATAATTTCCAAGGGGGAGCTTCTGCCATTACTAACAGGATTATCACTCTACTGATTCCTCACCAGCAGAGCATTAGAAATGTGCATTGTGGGCCAGCTGTTTAGAGCCTAATTCAGAGGTCTTCTTATGCTGTATCCAAAAGATGTGTAGGTGTTGATGAGGGCGAGGGCAGTGAGGAATTAAGATGATTGAAAACAAAGATTGTTTATGGTAAAATTGTTGCACAGAGCACTGATGCGCTAATGAGTTAACAGCCGGTTTTAATCCCCTTGATCTCTGGGCTGCTGACAGACTGTGAACAGAAAAGGTGCTCTCTGATGTCTCCTGACGGAGAAGGCTGGTGGGAGTAGCTGGGAGTTCTTTTACTCCTACCACATTTCTCACAGGGATTCTTCCTGGAAGAAGTTAGAAGAAGAGTTCTTACTAACAGTGCTTTTCTCTGTTTCATTCAATCATCTGAAGCACCTTTGCTCATCTCCTAGTATTTGGGGAAGTCCAGAAACTGGAAGCCTCAGCATAGCCTCAAAGCAAAGCTGTGAGGGAAATTTAAGCAAAGAAATGATTCTAAAGGCCTGATCCTGCTAACCTTACATGCATGAATAATCCTTACTCACCTAAGTAGTGCCATGGAAGTGAATGGGAGAACTTGTATGAGCAAGGAATATGCTGATGATTAAAGTGTGCAGGATAAGACCCTAAATCAGTGATGACTTAGGACATACTTTGAATTTCTTAGCATATTTCACAACCTTAAAATACGATCTAGCTTGACAGGGAGACAAACTATGACTTTTCAATTTCTACATTTTATGGACCTAATTCTCATTTACACTAAGTCCCTTTCACACAACCTTAATGTGGGTGTTACTTATGCCTCCTTTCCAGCTCCTTTGCAGTGTCACAGGGAATTTAGTGTAAATAATATGACCCTCTGATTCTGATTTTGAGCTGATCTGTGCAGCTTTAAATCAGGAGTAATTCCACTATTCAATGGGGTTATACTGGTGTAGGTGTGCGATAAGCAAGAGCATAGATTCATAGATTCCAAGGCCAGAAGGATCCATTCTGATCATT